TCTTGGCCCCCGGCGTCGAGCTTCTTGTCGACGCCGAGGGTCAGTATCGGGCCTCCCTGCGCTGGGTCGCGAGGAGGACAGAAGCCTTGATGAGGCACCTGCAGAGCAACGACGTCAAGCTGTTACTGTCCAGCGTGAAGCAAGAGGAAGTAGTGATCTACTACGCCAAGTTACATGGTGTATCAGTGGTAGAGTGCTTGTCGTCGGAGGAAATTGCCCTCATCCGTGAAATCACGGGAGTCTCGCCGTACACACCTTTTGGTGACGGCCTGTGCGGAGAAATCACCGAAACCGCGGTGGCGACGTTCTGTCAGCCCTTGCTGCTCGGCTCGAAGAGATGCGTTCACATCGGCTTTGCCAGCGTGTGCGCCTTTCAGCCTCACTGCCTGATTCTGTGCGGGCCGGTTGATGGTGTTAACGAGCAACATGCTGCTGCTTTACAGGGGGCGCTTACGATGCTGCAGCAGCTATTTAAAACGGTTGATCCGGGGGAGGAATGCAGAGCAAAAGGTGAAAGCCAGAGTGAAGCCACAGATGTTTGCAGTTGGCATTCACCTGCTCAGAAGCAACTTGTAATAGAAAGTATTTCTTGTAACAGTAATGAGGTTTCTGAACACCAGCTGAACACACATAGGGGTGAAACAGAGACACAGACTGCAGACTCTGACTTGCAGGGAAGTGAAAATCTAGCGTGTGTGCAAACAGATTTGCAAACACCCTCAAATCCCATCTCGCACATTGTAGAATTAAGTGTTGCCACAGTAGGAGGCGGCTCTTCCGGACTTGTACAGGAACCGCAGGCAAAATGCGAGCGTCTGGGTGATGTGCACGGGAGCTGTGAAAGCGATTCCCTTGCTGATCACTTGCTGACAGTCGTAAGAGCCACAGCACTGCTGTATCAGCAGCAGATAATGCTAATACTGTCGCTGCGTATGAACGCCTGGATGTTGGCAAAGACCTGGAGAAAACAAGTTGCAATATAGTTCCATGTAAAGACGAAAAGCATTTAAATATTGCACAGAATTATTCCAACTTCCTCATAGGAGCAGGATCGGTTTTGCCAGTCGGAGGTTACTTTGAAATCCTGTTACATTATTATATTCAGTACTATGCAAAACAGGTTCACCAGTCAGAGGTAACTGTCATAGCTCATGTGGTTGCTGATGCTTTGCTTGATATTCCCAAGGCCTTATACAGGGCAACAGAACGAAACAGCTTTACCAGATTCTATCTCGAAGCTGTAAACGCACTCAGAAAAAACCAGCCCCTGCCTGTGAACGAGAAAGGCCTAGAGTCAGTGTACTGCAAGTACCAGTTAGTCATTTCAGTTCTTCATTGTGTCTCAGAGCTGCTCTCCATAGATTTAATACTGGGTGTTAAGCGGCCACTGCAAAAAGTTGAGGATGACAACTCGGAAGATGACTTCTGAAATCATTAATAAAGACCGCTTTGATGATGTTGTCTTCCTGTGTCTTCTTGTCACATGGACGTGTCTCAAAATTCAGTGCTGGAGACAAGTTAACCTTTTTAGGCCCAGAGACCTAACACCCTTCTTTCCTGTTAGAAGAAAAGGAGGAAAAAGGCTGACCAGATTTGTGGAAAACTTGGTTGTGAACAGCACAAACTTGGAAGTTTCAAGCATGAGAAAGTACAGCTGATTTCCAGTGCGGGCAATCCGCAGTGCCTTTTCCATCCAGGTGCAGAGGACCCCATGTACCTTGTAGCCCAGGGTGAGCTTTGCCTCTTGTGGAGCTCTGAGTATTTATGCAAGTGGGGCGTGATTAGTTTCCTGGCATGTTAAAAGCTGTCGGCATGACATGAGCCACTGAACGTGCAAGTTGTAAGCAAGGGGGTTTCTTTTTCGCCTGTGTAATAGGCTGGATTGAATGTATTTTAAATAAAAATATATCTGTATGTATTGTGGGTTTGAATGTAGTGGAAGGTAAGCAGCTGTTGTTAGCCTGTTCACTGAAGAATTTTCTCGTCTGATAGGAGATCAAGCATTTTTATCTTCCCCTGAGTTCTTTCACTTCAGTCAAACTGGTAGAATTAAGAATGATGTCATACCGTGACTGGCCGGCGTGTGCTCTGGCAGCTGGGTTTCTGAGACATGACTGGTACAGCTGCGAACTGTAACTCCCCTGGGTTGGGTTGTGGCGGTGCTGTAACGGGCTGTGTAATCACCGAGAAGGTTTACACGGGCAGTAATGCAGTTTTGTGTGAGAAGCCAAAGGCAGCGTTTCAGTTCAGACTTTGATCATTTGGGATTTTATTCTTGGAGTGGGTATGTGTGGGTGGGTGGGTGTGTGTGGTTTGTTTGTTTGTATCTTCCCCACAGGATTTTCACCCCAATACGTTTTGCTTTAAGCTTAGCATCACCTGGATGTTGGTACATCTCCTTTTCTACTGCGCCTTAAAAACCTGCGGTTCGGCGTGGGAGGTTTTGAGTAACTGGGCAGCTGCAGCTGATAACGGTATCACCTTGGTGCCCTTGCCAGTATTGCATAATGCTTAGAATAACTGGCTTTGTTTTAATTTGCCATTAAATAAAATTCAGTGAGGATATGTAAAGTCATAGTAACAAATCATACTTACCTGTGATACTTGAGATGATTGCAACTGGATTACAATCAGATTTTTTTCCCTATTAATGTTGTTTCTTTCCCCTTTTTCAGTTTCTTCAGAAGAGTCCATCTGCCAAAGTTTCAGGTGTTTGGCAGCAATGCTTTGTTTGACTACAAGTTTCCCTTGAAAGTTTATATATATTCTTGGCAAGCAATTTTTTTTCCCTGACTAGTACACTCTTACGGAGATCAGCATATGAAAACCAGTGAAATTCACTGTTCACTAGTCATTTCTTTAATCAAGCACTAGGGACAGTAATTCTTTTTTTAGGTGTTTTTGGTGGGTGCAGAGGTGGGGGAGAATGAAACGTGGAGGAGAGGAAAGAAACACACCTTTGCTGTTACCACCTGCTTTCGGTAGCTGCGGAACATGACAAGTCCAGCAGGAGCCAAGAGCAATCCCCGTTGTGGAGGAGCTGATGTCTGGGAGCCACGGGCCCTGCTTACCCGGACATCCCCAGGGACTTCCGCCAGCCCTGCCGCTTCAGCAGGCGCCCGGGTTCTGGATTTCATCCCGACAGTTTTGCTCTTGCGCGTGTTTCTGTGCAGTGTCTTCGAACCGCTGCCCAACTTGGTGGCCAAAAGACGCGGGATTCGCACTGTGGGAGTCCAGCAGCTGCGGCGCAGAGGGTGTGAAGCCTGGCAGCGTGGGGGTTGGCTGCAGAAGCTGCTGTTGCCTGCTGAAGCTAGGTGTCCTCTAAATACAGGTACAGCAAAGAGAATACAGTGGGTTTTTCAGTTATTTCATACCATTTGCACATCTGAACGCTTTCAGATTCATAGCAGTTCCCTGCAAAAGGTTAAAACAAAACCAACTTGCGATGTGAGTGGCCTGGCTGTTTGGTTTAAATCGCATCAGCCTTACTGCCAAGAAGAAGAAAGTCTAAAAATGTTATGATACGCAAAACTCCTATTTTGGTGTGCCAGAGATACCAGGGGGAATTCAACAGTGACAGTTACACAGAACTTCTTTTTCTGACCTGTTTCTGGTGGAACCTCTGGGTCTGAAGGCTCACTGAGTCAGATGCTGTATTCCATTGACTCCTCTATATTTTTATATTTGGTGAATGATCAGTTTTCCCTTTTGAACTACTGATTCCCTGATTTGTGCAGAGAGCTGAGAATATGGCACACCTTTCCCTTGGAGAGGAATGTCCCTTCTTTGTCCTGGACTGCTGGGGTGGTGCTTGTGCAGGACATGGCCGGTTTCCAGCCCCGGAGCCAAAGCGCTTGCCGAGGTGCACGCCAGCTCCAGGGAAAAAAAGGCACGAATTTAGCCTTTGGGGAGAAGAGCAGATTTACTTCTGGATTCAGCTCCTCCTTTAGGAATCTTCCAGTTGTTGGCCTGGAAGTATAATCACAACCTAATCTTTGAGAAAATTTTGGGATCGCTGCTGTCCCACTCGCTCTAAGGGAAGGGCTGTTCGGAGCCCTGAGAAGTGGCATCTTGCAGCTAGCCCAGACTCTAAAGCAACCTACAACTGCAACTTGCCATTTGACAGGTGACATGGGGACGATGCTAAGCGTGATCTCTTGACGAGGTCCAGGTAGCTGGGGCAGCTCAGGAGAAGATGTTTACTCAACAGAAGTGCAGAGAGAGGTGAATTTGGGCGTTTTTAATTCAAAACCAAAAATTGTGAAAGCCATGTGTGGTATGTACAATGAGTCTAGAGATTGAAACTGCATGCTGCGCACAGCTCTGGAGAATCGGAATATTCTGTTTACGTGATGAGGCCACACCGGTTTTAGTTGTTAATTTGGGTGTGGTCGAGTCTCACAAACTTTTGTAGGTGCCGGTGGCACACCAAGGCAGGCTCCATTCCGCAGCGCTGCTCTGCTGCCTTTCCTCATTGCCTGACCCCGGCAGCTCACTGCTCAGCACCTTCCTGGGCCCTTCCCGTTGATCTCTGGTGATACCAGCTCCCTCTTTACCAAATGGGTGCTGCTTTACTTCTTGAGGGGAAGTTACACAACTTGAGCCTGCCTGGCTGGATGAGGCTTTGAGCAACCTGGTCTAGTGGAAGGTGTCCCTGCCCATGGCAGGGGGGTTGGAACTAGATGGTCTTTAAGGTCCCTTCCAACCCAAACCATTCTGTGATTCTTACATGTCATAGAATCATTGTACGTCATTTCTGTTGTTAGAACAGAGCTCACAGGCGAATCGTACCACGTGAGAAGATTAAGGAAGATTAAATTCTTCACTTACATATGTGTCCTGGACTTCACTAGAATTGTGTTCATTTGACAGCCTGTACTTAGTTTGCTTTTTGTTATGCAACAAACCTGCTATTAGTGGTAGAGACCTCCATTTTTGATTACTAAATTTATTTCTATGCTTGTTTAGGTTAAGCTGTTCCCTTGTGTATTTTTTTGGAGAGGTTCTTTTAAATCCCACGTTAAGAGAGAAAGTATTTCCATGTCCAGTTGCAAAAATCTCTTTTTGTTTAATTATCTTGAAATCTAAGAAACTTTTTTTTTTGACCAGCAAACCCAAAGATTAAACACTTGCTTTATTTCCTATACTAGTTATTGCATTATTACTATTAAGACTGAGCAAATCAAGAGGGCAACGTCTGAATTTACAAGCAGTAGCTTTGGAAATGCGTTGGCTGTAATTAACACAATTATAATTCTGCAGTAGCGTTTTGTGTAAGGCGTCATTTGTGTTCTACTAACAAGACTAGAAATAGATGTTTGGATCTAGGATTATACATATTCCTTCCCTCCAAGAATAATAAACTAATAATTACTTCCAGGAATCAGAATTTTACTTTTAGCATTCCAAAACTAAAAATAGCGACAACAAGAATTTAATAGATTTAACACACAGTAGCTCCTCCTTTATGAGCGGATTCAAGAGAAGACTAGACATTGGACGCGAGGCTTATTCCTGTGATGGGCAGAGCAGGGCACTCTTTAAAAAACACTCCTGGCAAAAAAAACACACACCAGTTTTCCATAGGCAAACCATGCCTGCTGGTTCAGCA